TCCTGATAGGCAACGGGAAATTTCCCGATCTGCGCATGCGTGCAGAATGTTGTGTCATGTGCCACTAAAATTTCTATCTGATTTGGGATCCAGTGAGAAGATCCACTCCCATTTTTTTCTGGCACTTGTTTGCATCATTTTCGTCCGCCAGCGAACTGCTTCCAAGGAGCCGTTCACCATCATTCGTTGCCAGAAGCATGTGCGTATCTTGTTACATTATATATATATATATATATATATATATATATATCGAATAATTCAAAAAGAATGCCAGCCTCACCTTTTCGGGAAGCCAAAACAATAAAGCGAACTAGACGATGCCCTCCATCGTCACCAGGCAGGCAACCCATCGGAGCACACCTGGCTAAGCACGCTCATTGTCAAGTAAGTGACTGACATGACTCGGCCTTTGTATGGGTCATGAGTACCATGTAAGCAATGTGGAAACCCGCACTTTTTGACTGCATAATTTTGTCATTTTCCGGCACCGGCGGGCAATTCATGACTGATAATGCTCACCAGCTTTGTTGCTGCCGTGAACGGCGGGGAGGATTGGCGGTCGCGGAGCAATAACGATGTGCGGTGCGGCTGGTCGCCAGCTTGCTTAGCAGTGTTCAGCACATGAACGGCGGGGAGGATTGGCGGAGCAATAACGATGTGCGGTGCGGCTGGTCGCCAGCTTGCTTAGCAGTGTTCAGCACATGAACGGCGGGGAGGATTGGCGGAGCAATAACGATGTGCGGTGCGGCTGGTCGCCAGCTTGCTTAGCAGTGTTCAGCACATGAACGGCGGGGAGGATTGGCGGAGCAATAACGATGTGCGGTGCGGCTGGTCGCCAGCTTGCTTAGCAGTGTGCAGCACATGAACGGCGGGGAGGATTGGCGGAGCCAATAACGATGTGCGGTGCGGCTGGTTGTCAGCTAGCTTAGCAGTGTGCAGCGCGTGATATTACAGTAATTAGCACGCGTTGGAGATGTCACGGAAGGCTTGTCGTCTCTGCCCTCCGGCGAACGCATCGGAATGGTTCACGCTTTAGGAGAAATGAACTGCGGCAAGTGGGAGCTGACTTATAGTGTTTCGGCTCAGTAGCAACTTGAAGCCAAATATTCGCATACATAATTGCACGACCAAACGCCGGTTCCACACACGTGGTACAGATTCACCAAAATAATAGCATCGGAGCTTCCCATCACTTTGATATCATGGCGTTATCGAGGCTTTACCACCGGCTTTTCGAAGACACTTTGGTTTGGGACGTTTTTCTTCTTTTGGCTCCTTTAAAACGTTTTAGTTGCACTGGAACCGGATAGGCCAGGCGGTCCACGCAGACTGAAATCGATGTGGGAACACCCCAATACACACCAGCCATACCAACGTGATATTCCAGCCACGCTGGGTCACTGGTGTAGAAGGCATGGCAACGATAATGTGGTCAGCGCCCTGATTTGGTTGGGTAGTGCCCTGCGATACTCGGTGTGCCTCTGGGGCGCCACGGTGGCAACACTCGCTGTCCGGCCGACCGGGACCGCGCAGAACATGTGGGATGCCGTCGAAGTGTGTCTGTTTTCGTTCCGCTACTCCAGCTTTGATGAGCTACGCCCTGTTAAGCCAGACTCTGGCTTCGACCAGCCAGTAGCTGCATGGAAACAGCTCAACACAAATGTTGGTACAGTTCCAGTCAGGTATCGTACCACTGTCCATGATCTACGGTACACGCGGGCGGCGCTGCATGGCCGATGTGCTGATGGTCCTCCCCTCCCCCCCCCCCCCCCTAAGACGCGCGTGCTTATAATGGACTCCAACGATTATAGGACTCGAGCAAATCACGACAAAAGTTTTACTGCTTGAGTGTCCTCTAGCGCTGCCGGACATAACCAGTGACCAACGATGAGATAAAAAAAAAATACGGGTTTGCTCACCAACAAAACAGCCTCCTCGGAGGAGCACCTACCTGAAAGTACTGCTGAAACGTTTCAGCGTCACCGTCCGTAGGCGTGACGTCCACCGGCACGTGCGTCACGTCCCCGTCACAGTCCACGTCGGCAGTCTCAGCCGGGGCCGAGTCGCCAAAGTTCTGCACATAGAACACCTACCGGCACCGGGCACAAACTCGCTAAGGTCAAGTAATGTGTCCCCGGAGGGGGCTTTGGCTATGGTGAAAACTGAGGGCGCATTTCAAGATATAACGCATGGTCGTGTCAGACAAATGTTACATCAGCAAAACAACATGCAGCGCGAACAGGACGTAGCCAAAACGAGGGTCAGGAGGGCCGTTCCCCATTCCATGAGCCAAGAGGTTCACACCAGATACTGGCCGGTTTCGCAGGAATTTGGTCCCAATTCGCGGAATTTTGGAGAAAATGCCGCATTTGTCACCACTCCCCTGAAGCAAATTTTGGCTAAATATCGCATCATAAATAAGGTTATATATATATAAATATATATATATATATATATATATATATATATATATATATATATAAACTTAAAACAGCTCAATGATTGTCACCGGCGAACGTCCCAGGCAGTACCATTAATGTGGCCAGGTTCGCAACACTTCCAAAAAACCGTATGCCTATTGTTCCTTACTGATCACGTCAAAGCGCAGAAGTTCTATCGCTCACATACCATTGGAAGCACTTGTGACAGCATCGGTGTTAGACAATGACTTGGCGAGACGCACAACTGATGGACTGATGCCAATGACGAATTAATACGCCACCGTCACGGCCTAAAGACCAGACACCACGGTCATCCCGCAGCCCACCGGGCTTTTGGCCCCGATGGCGGGCGTTGTCCGGCGTGCCGGGATAGATATGTCACATGGCGGCCAGCCAGGCGGGGGCTACACGCCCGGCGTGGTGGGCCGCGGTCATACCGGGCTTTTGGCCCCGATGGCAGGTCGTTGTATGGCGTGCCGGAATAGATATGTCACATGGCGGCCAGCCAGGCGGGGCTACACGCTCGGCGTGGTGGGCCGCGGCCATACCGGGCTGTTTGTGTCACACAAAAAAAAAAATGTCTTTCCACAATCCGCTCTCGGTAAGGCACTTCAGCCAAGTTAGCCCCGACAGGGGCGTAACCAGGATTTTCTGCAGTTAGAAGCCCAGAGCTCGGTTGGTACGAATCACGCTCATTTTAACGCTCTGTTGGGAACCCTCTATGACAAAAAGCAAAAATTCCCACATAAGGGGAGGAGCGGGCCACTCCCTTGGCTGGACGCTGGCCCTTGGCCTAGCGTTGCGTTACGTGGGCAGAAGCGCAGTCAAGGGGGAAGACCAAGTCCTTCTCCTTCCTTGACTGCACCTCTGGGCGCGGCGGTCTGGTCCCACCTGGACGCCGTGTATGCGGCTGGGATCACCGGCGGCGCGGCTCCAGAGGCGCAGCTGGCTGACGACCTCCGGGTCGGCGGTGAGCACCGTCAGCTGCAGCTGGCCGCCGGCCGCCGGACCCTGGCCCTGCGGCAGCGGCGGCGGTCACCAGGCGGCTCCAGAGGCGCAGCTGGCCGCCGGCCGCCGGGCCCTGGCCCTGCGGCAGCGGCGGCGGTCACCAGGCGGCTCCAGAGGAGCAGCTGGCCGCCTGACCCTGACACGATCCTGCGGCAGAGGCGGCGGTCACCAGCCGGCCCCAGAGGAGCAGCTGGCCGCCTGACCCTGACACGACCTTGCGGCAGCGGCGACGGACACCAGCCAGCCCCAGAGGAGCAGCTGGCCGCCTGAACCTGACACGACCTTGCGGCAGCGGCGACGGACACCAGCCAGCCCCAGAGGAGCAGCTGGCCGCCTGACCCTGATACGACCTTGCGGCAGCGGCGACGGACACCAGCCAGCCGCCAGCAAGCTCATGCTTCAGCCTTGCATACGGGGAATCGTTTAGAAACACGGATTTCCTGTTGGAGCTGAAGGAAACGGCACTTTTAGCCAGGGCGGGAAGGGGGGGGGGGGGGGCGGGGGAGAAAAGGGGCTTCATGGTAATCATCCTCGTGAAAAATTAGCATGAGCCCTTGATGACGCACGAGCAGAATTAGCCTCCGCGGGAGGTTTGGCGCCCCTGTATTTGGGAACATCCTTACGCCCCCCGGAGAATGCTGAGACATGCTGGAGTGGAAATGCTGCCGGAATGAGTATCCTTCAATGACAGAATGCTGAAATCGTACCAGCACGAAATCAGTTGATCGGTCAGTTGTAACGCCGTCAAATGGTGTTCCTAAGCCTTTCTGGCAATGTGTACTCATATCAGGGAAATGAATTGGTGATTACTAAGCACGTTCATGGCTTAAGTGGTGGTGAAGGTCAGTCAAGGCGTCCATCGCGGACGGTGTGGCGCAAGCCACGGGTTCGCGCCTGGCTACCGGCAGCGGCCATTGTCGTCCGGCGCGCGGACCGCTTGGAGCGCCCGGCCGTCAGCGCCGTCGGATGTGCCGATTGACCTGCCACTGCAGCTGCGGCAACTTGCGGTACAGAGGTCGGAGGAGCGGCGGGTGTCGCGCGCCACCCGGCCGCGATCGGCCCCCCAGCTGGCACCGTAGTCTAGCGTCTGCCATCCGCACTACCGAACAGGACACGGCAGAGGTCTGGTGACGGCCAACCCGGCCGTTGACAGGCCCGGCATGGCGACATGATGGGGTCGATATATATATATATATATATATATATATATATATATATATATATATATATATACATATGTATGTATGTATATATCGACAGCCAAACATCACGGCCTCAACACTTGTCCGACCGTTACTGAGCATTGAGTTTTAAGAGCACGTCAAGTGCATTGGCTATTTGCGCCAATGCACAACCGCCTCGTGTGAGATAGCATTGCAATTTGTGCGTGCAGCGCACGTCTTTAAATGATCCAGTTTTGAATCAACGCGCTGCTAAACCATATCGCATCCGTTATTTAATAAAGCACTTGAAGATGAATGTTTACAGTACTCGCCCGGCAGACAAATCTGACGCGAGCGGGGTTGGATTGGCGCCAAAGCACATCCTTAACCTAATCCCTGTATTAACTTGCGACCAGTATGTGAAGCCAATATTCTGGGTACTCTAAAGTGCTCTGTATGCCTTGTTTGGAATTTCAAGAATCCCTCAGTATGTGCAATTTGGTTTGATTCATATACCGGTTGTAGGTTGCTGCTATAAAAACGCGGACAATGAAGGCTTTTCTTATTTTGAGCCATCCTCTGTGTTGAAGGAACAGCGGGATAAATCATTGTCATCAACGGTAAATAATGTTTCTGAATCATTTACGTACATATTCCTCTTTCTAAGCAGCTGAGATGGCAATGCTGTTGGGATGATTAGTCAGCAATGTTGTGCATGTTATGATGATGGAATGTGGTAATTGTTAGCATAGTTAATAAGTGATGTCATTTCATTGAGTGGCCATAATCCCAGAGTGTCTCAGTACAGGAGCACACAGATGTGAATTGTCTTGTTGCTCATTTGTGAGTCATCTGCCGGTCTTATGGATCATGCATGCTTCCAGACAGTTCAGGACTGGCTGAGTACATAATCACCATTGGGATTTGGTTACTTACACAAGTGGCTTTTGGGCAGCCATATCTATTTGTATCTGGATCACATCATGCAGCACCAAAACATGAATGGACCCCAGTTTTATTTAAGTTGTGACTTCAGCCATGATCCTGATGTCACAAGTGTGTTACAACAGTGCTATGCCGCCTACCTCCTGTTTGTAGTGTATGTATATGCCTTTGATGGCATATCATATGGCTTCAGGCAAGTACTCTAGTTATGATGAACTGGGCCCTGGGAAATTGCAAGTAGATAGTGTAGCATGGCAGTAGTGGGGCATACTCCAAAAGGAAAGGGACCAGGCATGAGTATCACCTGGCTGTGCAGTGCCTGGGTTTATGCTATGCTTTCCTGAAGATTGGAGATAGTCACCCTGCCAGCCACCCACTTGTACCACCCTCATTAGGCAATGACAAGAGCATCATTCTGTGAATTTTGTCTGTGATGGCCATATCTTCACATCCTTGCATCATGGACATCAAATAAAGGAAAATGTGGGACATTGTACGCCAATGATGTAGGGAGCCCAATGACATGCTAAAATGTCGGTCCAGTCAGCTGTTTGTCCCAAATTTCACCCACATTTCCATGAACTGATATTCACTTTCATGAACAAGATATTCATATCAAATGCATAAGGAACTTAAGGTCATGTGGTGTCGGAGGGCAGGACAGACTGTAACAGATATCGCAGCACACTAAACTCTCACCACCTAATTCCACTATAGCCCAGAAATGTCATGATCAGATGATGATGGCCAGGGCCAGGGCCAGGGCTGTGATACAAGAATGTAATGAGTTTCCTGTACAACATCTGTTCCTATGCCAAAAGCACTGGACTAAATGTCAAAAAGGCCATGACCACTGGGTTTAGTAATTATGAGGCTTAGATAAGACCATAGCATTAGCTTATTCCCTGGAAAAACCAGGAGACTGGAGATATAGCTTAGTTGATGTCAGTGACATGCCTTTATCGAAACAAAAGCAGAAGTGTTTGTTTCAGTAAAGGCATGTTGCCAAAATATCAGCCAAACTATACCTCCATTTTCCTGTTTTTTTTTCTGAGGAGTATGGCTAATACCACTGTCTCATCTATGGAATAATGTTCCTTGCTAATGCACTGAACAACTTATGTAATTATGAGGTATCTTGCACACCTGGATGTGACAATTAGAGGCTCTGCCACTGACCAGTTATGTGACTTCAAGGTGGTTAAGGCAGTTTCCTTCCATATGATGGCAGGCATAATGCTACAAATCTGGGAATACAGGAGCAGACCTACCACATCCCTTCTGTGGCATAGCCCATGGTGACAATGCTGATCATGCTACTGAGGTCCAATTTACTGTCATCCTTAACAATAAATGTGTCTCACATTGCCAAGTACCACATTTCTGACTGCTTATGTTTGGAATTCATTCTTGTGCTTGAACACATTGGCATGTGTACTGCTAAGTGACAATGCCATCCTCCAATGAAAGCAACTTATGTGATGCTTTGCTGCAACGATCCAGTGTTGAAATAGTATTGCTGCTTGAAGCTGGGGCATAGAGCCTTCCATTTTTCCACAATTATGTTCTGTTCACCATGCCTAAGATGATGGTGTGTATGGATATTCTGAGAGTAAAGTCTTCTTCAGTAGCCAATTCTGAACTTCACTGTTTCCAAACTGGCTAGATCTTTCTGGATATTTTTTGCTATATCTTTTTTCGTTTGCAACATCATTCACATTGCCATCTTGGAAGAGACTTCAGAATATTATGTAGGCTGACTGGTCACATGTCTGTGCACTAAGTTCAATCACTGCATTGTAATACATAAAAACATCCTATGTTATGTGCAGCACTTGATTCATTTGCAAATAAACAGGACTGATGGCTGCTGAACCTATGCCACTCCAAACTCTCTCAGCTGCCTCCCACCACGCCTCTGGTGAACGCGCGCCAGCGGCCGCTGGGCGAGCCTCGTGCCGGCAGTATCCTGACACCTGCGCTGCCGGCAGTGTCCGCCCGTCGCCATGACCGAGACCACTGACGACTGGGTGCTGGAGTGCTCCGACGACGAGCGCTTCGCTGGCTGGACCGAGGTGGACGGCGAGCCGATGCCGCCGCTGGACGAGCTGCAGCGGCTGTACGCGCGCGTGGAGAGCGGCGACCCGCCCACGCTGGCGTGGCGCTGCCTCGGCCGGCGGCCGCTCGACGCCGACGCGCCCGACGAGGACGAGGACGAGCCTGTGCAGCTGCCAGACATGTCGGACTTCGACTTTGGCGGCGATGACGTGGCGCAGCCGGTGGAGACGCCGCGCCGGCAGCCCGGCGCCGCGCCGCGCGGCAGCGCCAAGAAGAAGTCCACCAGCTTGGATAAGATTCTGAAGAACATGAAGCGCACCCGCGAGCTGGAGGCGAAGGAAGCCAGCGAGGCGTCGGCCGCCGACAAACAGAAGCCGGACTGAACGCGCGCCAGTCCTTCGGCGTCTGCCGCTAAAGAACTTAAGGTTAAGTTTTATACGGATTGTACACCATTGCCCATTGTGTACTATCATACGCTGGTCCTCAAGCTGCCCGACTCCGATGAAGTGTAGTGCATTGCCGCCGCGATCATCTTGTATAAACTTTCACAAGTATTGCGTATGCTAATGTTGCATAACCACATCAAATGACCTTTGTTATGAGAATCCCTCGTTCTCCACCTGCACGGCACCTCGCGTCCATTATAACAGGGTTATCACTCTCACCCTGGCATCAATCTCAATGCGATGTACTCGTTCCCAATCGCAAAGGGGTTCTCATACGCAGATACGTGACCTCGCACGCTCCGTTGGTCATGGAGTATAAGACCTTGCAATCACACTTGAGCGTAACGTTACGCTGATCGAAAATCCCTCCCTTGTCGCGCTTCGGTCACGCCTCCAAATAATCCACCTCGCTTCCCCATCAAATCTCTTCCTCCCCTCGTAACCTAGTAGCGGACGGCTCCTTGACGCATTGTTGTGTTTAAGTTTGGCCCGAAAACACCAATCAACAACAACAAAAAGAGTATACGACCTTGTGTGTCGTCCACCAGCAGGATGTCTGCTAGCGTTACGCATGGGTTGTACAGAATAGTGCATGCGCCGGCGTATCTGGTGACGTCCAGTACATCCGCACTGGAATCGAAGCGAACATTCGCAATTCCACATGGGATAGTCTGTGACCAACTTTGCCATAAACTACGCCACGTACGCAGCAATGAGCGGGTATTCATAACACGTTGATGGTGATGCTACTGAGCTGAAACGAAAAATGCAAACTACCGCTCCGGCGATGACGTACCTGTTTCGAGCAGAGGTCGGCAAACTGCTGGCAGGCGGTGTGGAGCGCCAGCTCGACCCGGCCAACCCCGTCCACAACCACCGCGGCATCAGTGCCTAGCTCCACCCTGCCGAGCACGAACACGGCGTGTGGTCCTCACAAGCAGGCCAGCTCGGGGTGACTCCTTGCAGGTCCAGCGCCAGCGTCTCCTACATCTGGAGGCTCCGTGTTGAGCTGCTCTCGATGCAGTGCATGTTACGGATACTGTTCGAAGAGGCTGATCATGCGTGTCAGGCGCGGCGAGTAATGGGATGCAGTTCTTTAAGGCATCGGTAGTCCTGATATGATAATTTGATAGTCCTGATCCTGATCCTTTAGTTTCACCTTTTGACAAAGCATAGTCCCGGCGGCTCTGACAGCTCCAGGGCCCAAGCTATTTACACCTCGTGTTACCTCCCCCAAAGTAAGTTGACTTCTGGCTTCAATGGAGTGATTCCTGGGCTTGCGGTGAGGGCCAGGGTGTTCCAATATTGCTCGCAACGACTGAGCAACTGATAATCGTTACGCAGATTTAACTTTGACTTGGTTTAACATATTCATGACTCGGCCATAAGTATGTCTGGGGCACACATATTGAGGTCGCATTGTACCTATGGAACAATGGTAATTGTGGGTGGATCGTGAACATAACAGTAAGAAAAACGAAGTTATGCAGTCATTACTTATTCCACCTCCCGGCTTTAAAATTGATGGAATTGATTGTTTCTGATCGCATAATATTGTACGCACGTGTTCACATATATGCGACATGATAGGTTAGTTTCACTCTTCGACAGTATGCCTATAGCTCCGACGCAGGCATAATTTCATTGGAACGTACCACTGACTTAGGTTCGCTCCTATATCGGGACTGGTAACAAATATCGGGATTGATACCTCTCGATGGTTTGCTTGCCTGAGCTCACACGCAGGGTATCGTGCATTGTACATCACCGTATATCGGGATTGGTGATAACCCCGGGATTGATATCTCGGTGGTTTGCTTGCCTCAGCTCACACGCAGGACAGCGTGGATTGTACATCAGCGAAACATCGCACAGTTTGGCTCAACAACAAACGTCGCACAGTCATCGCACATTTTGGCTCGCGATTGTCATTTGCGTTCCCCAGCGTCAAATCGGGATTGTTTGCATGCTGGCATGTGTGTAGGTATTCTGCGTGCATGATTGCTGTACTTTGTACCTGTACTGCTCCAACCTTAAGTTACGAAGTTCTGAGGCCAGCGGGGTCTAAATCCACGGACGCAGTCGCCAAACATGAGATCCGGTCAGACGCGGAATCGGCTCCGGGGCTCCATCGGCCATGGCCATTCTGGACTCGGACTTTTTGAGGCGATCCATTTTACGAATGGGTCTGACTTAAACTTGGGCTCATCGATTAAAGTGGAAGTGCACATATACTTCACCCAAACATACTCTATTTTTGAATCAGACATTGACTGACGGTGCTGCCAACCCGAAACTTAGGTTGATAATCCGACCGTGATAGGTCATGGCTCAGCTCCGAACAAACGTCCATAAGCGGGTAAAAAAACATTGGCTCACCGGCTTCGAATAGTGGCAACTCACAGATCAATCGAACTCGTATGCCTACCTGCGGTTCGTATTCACAACGTTCAACGGTTCCGATGTTTATGTGTTTGGATCCCAAAGTCTTTCCCAAACTTTGGAGGAGGCTTTCCGCTCATGGTGTTCCATGATTTCCAACACATAAAACGGTTGAATTACCTAACATGAAAAATGCGGTCATAGCAGGGAAAATATGTCCGCTGGCGCATGCACTTCTTTGATGCATCTGACTAGTCAGCATCATGGACTGGACGATTGTGACTAGTCCTTCAGTGTTCAGTGTCTGCCGCAGCAAACAAAGGCGACGATACCATCATGCGAGCGCGGAAATTTAAGAACTTTTGAAAGCAGTGCCTGGGCTGCTTTGATGCGCTGCGGCAGGAAGAAATGCATGGGAGGGGGCTTGCAATGAAAACCTGCGGAGGGGATGAACAGCTGGTTGTCGTCGAGACAGGAAGCAGACAAGTGCTGGGAGGCAAATTACCAAACAATATAATCTGGTGGAATCAAGACATGCCACAGTAACCCACAGCAGGTGAGTGATTGCCCTCCAGCTGCGGCGGTTGTCGGAAAGGAGGTCGATGCTCCATATCTCCGACACCGAACCCTTGAAAAGGCGATGTTGCGGGAGCTGCCCACATTTACAACACAAATTTCTGTACAACATAATTTGGGAACAACGGGAAACATCAGAGTTACTTCCGGCACAAGGGCGCGAACGGCCTTGACGGCTTTTTGCTTCCGAAATGATAACATGCTTGCGCACCTAACAGACTGACGCCGCTGCAGCGAACCGTGCAGCAAACGCTCAACACCAGAGGGGTGGAAATACTGGTCCTTGGGCCAGAATACTGGGCAGTCATTCTTTCACAAGTAAGTAACAGTTCCCAACGTTTCATATCCGCCAAGTGGAAAAAGCACCAGCAGAAAAGCGCAGACTGCAGGCGGTTTAGACCATGAGACAACAGGCAGTAAAGTTACAAGCCAACTGGCGCGGGGTCACAGTTGACGAAACACCGCAGCTGCAGCTGCCTGTCGGTAGTCACAGTGGGTCGGCGGCCTGCAGTGGACCGAGCCGAGGACTGACCGTGTCCTGTCCACGAGCTGCGCGACCGCGCTCCACAGCTGGTCCAGCCGGCCGCGAGGCTCCTGCAGCGCGCAGCAGACGGCCGGCGAGCGGCCCAGCGCCAGCAAGGCCAGCGCCGGCACGCGCGCCGCGCCGCGCACCGACGCCGCTAGCGTCACCGAGCGCAGCAGGCTCTGGTGGCAAGCGGAGAGCAGCGGTGAGAGCTGGCTGCGTCATCTGGTGCGCGCGTGAACGAAATGGGCGAGAAACGTGAGCGAATTGGAATAGGAAAGGGGTGAACAGATGGCCTGCCGATACAAATGCATGTTTCCCAGCATCGAATATAAGAGACACCAGTACGTCTTTGTTGTAACAAGTGACGCATCACTCCATGTCAGGCATTCCAAAAGTTGCATGAACATGTCATGGTTTACGCGTGTGATCGTCCGGGTGGGTTAGGGTCAAGCGCGGCCGGATCATCTCGAGGCAGGCGGTAAACACAGTCGGACCGAGACCACCTCGTGGCCACGTGTTCAGTTCCCACCCACGTCTTCGTAGTTCCTAAAAGGCGTCACATTTCGAAGGCAGGACGAGTCCGTTTCTAACGGCGAAGGTGTCACGGTTCAGCGCGCGGTCATTGCGCGGTAAAAACCCCTCAATGCCTTTCGAAAGACATGCTGGGAGTTGATCATGGCAAGAGGGCTACTGATGTCTAGTGAACTTTACGTTGTGTGACGTATTTTCGAACCGTATACCGCATTCATCACACATTGCAATATTCTATACACATCCAGCTTGAATTATGTCACAACCGTCGCCCTCCCCCCCCCCCCCTAGCTGGTTGTGAGGCTGGTGTGCACTAACAAAGGTTGGGTGCGCCTAGGTAGTTTTCGGGTTATCGTGCGTCTGGTTGCATGCATGAACGCCATATCAGCTGGAACCGTTGCCAGTCGCATGCCTACCCACATAT